TTACATTACCCTCTTTTATATATCCGACTACCCTATATCTAGCAAACACTAGAGCATTCGCCAAAGTACAGGATAGTTCTAGAAAGTAGAGGGCGTGAGAATCACATGATCTCGATGACGCAACAATATATATACTATTGTAAGTATTTGATAACTGGGAAAGTTCTTTTGGATTATTTGGAAAAAATAATGCCAAGTCCAGACCACGCAGTGATAGGGAATCATTTTATTTTTTCAGTAATGTTTGTTAGAGCTACGTTCACTTGTAGGGTTAATTTCATAAATACAACATAAAATTCCGCAACTAAATGTAGATCTCACTTTAAATACAATGTTTCAATGTGTACTGTGTGACCCGCGATTAACTTGCATAACTTTAATAGAAAAACGAGCACTAACGCACTAAGTAACTAAATATCAGAATAGACGCCATACCTTTTCTGATAATAAGCCAACTTCTTATTAACAATTCACAGAATTCTCGTTGAATCTTCCCACGCACTGATTAATCGTATTTATAATCATTCTCGTTTCTTCAAATACCATGAAATTCTAGATTATTACATCATCATGAAGTTTCTAGGTATTTTAGAATGATCTTAACTTCAAATGCCCAGTATCAAACATCAAAATTAAAACATTGAAAATATAGTTTACAACAATACACATATAGAACGGCCCTGCATGGCGAGGAGGTTAGGGAGCTCGACTCGCAATCTGCGGGTCGCGGGTTCGAATCCCCGTCAGACCAAACATGTTCGCCCCTTTCAGCCGTGGGGGCGTTATATATTGACGGTCAATCCTACTATTCGCTGGTAAAAGAGTAGCCCAAGAGGTGGCGGTTGGTGGTGATGACTAGATGCCTTCCCTCTAGTCTTACACTGTTAATTTAGGGACGGCTAGCGCAGATAGCCCTCGTGTAGCTTTGCGCGAAATTCAAAAAACAAACAAACAAACACATATAGAAATAATTAAACAATTTCCTATGCTTAGGATGTTTTTCTTTCTTTATGTCCTTATAATTGAGTACCGGTACTTGTTTGGTTAGTGCATATATAAATCAATCCGTTAGAAAACTAGGTAAAGAGTGATAATATTTCTACGATTTTGTGCATTGTGTAAAGCCAATTGGTAAACCTATGTAAAATGAATGAGATATATGATTGTATATATATATTTGATTAATAATAATAAAATATTTAACCTGTATAGTTTAGAAGAAAACTCTTACTACTCCAATAACGTGTAACAAATAAGACCAAACTGTGACATTCAACAACAAAGTATCTCTTGGTACTCCAATAGGCTTAAGTTGAAATCATGGCGGATGGAGTAGACATAGATTTGTATGCAGAGGATCTGGAGCATGACTTCAACCAGGTGAGTGTTTGAAAATACATCGAACCACTTAGTTATACTTCGTAAGATATTTTTAATTTTTATGAACTTTTAAATTTAAATATGTTTTAGTAGGAGAACATGCGCTAACAAGAGTCATTAGGCCTCCCACAGTACCATTAACACTAAAAGTAAAAGTAAAAATACTAGTATTACTATTAGTAGTAACATGAGAAAATAACAATACCACTGTATGATGTATCAGTATTAAACTACATTTTGTAGGGCTAGTACTAGTAATACTGTATTAATAATATAACTATAAGTACTACAATATAGTTCGCTATTATTATTAGTAATATTAGTATTACTGCTATTACTATTAGTAGTAGTACTAGGTTTAACGTTAATAGTACTATTATTAGTAGTATTAATTCATTAAATGATCAATACTATTAGAAAGGTAACTTTTAAATTAAAATTTAATCTGTTAATGTAATACTATATAGAATTTGAATACAATGTTGAGTTTATTGTATTCAACTTTCATATAACATACAGACAGTAACCTCTTATTTATAGAAATCAAATTCAGTGTATTAGATATAAATTCATTTTGACAGAACAATGTCAAAATGTCATTTGATACCTGATAAACATAATTGTGATGCCATTTTGAAAGGTCATTTTTTGTTGTTTATTAAGATAATATTGGTAATAGTAGAATACTAAAGATATTAAATATGAGATTGAAATAGAGGATTATTGTAAGTGTTAGTAAAAAGGAGTAGTCATGTTAAGAATTAGAATTACTGTTTCTATTGTTATTGGGTAGCTACTTAGAATTTAAAACATTAGTAGATTATTTAAATTATTAATATTTAAGTTTAACTAAATGCATGTTTCATGTCATAGCTGCATTACTAATGTAATAATTTACTTGTAATTAATAGTATCCTTATTACTTAGTAATGGAATTTTATTGAAAGACTTATGTACAATTTAATCTAAAAACTGTGAAATAAATTCAATTTTTTTAGTTAGATTCATCCAATTTTCCCGGAAATTTAACAATATTTTTGCCACTAATAGTGGATTTATAAGTTTTATGGAATATCATGATTTCATCAAACTACTACGTTTTATTTTCTTAGAAATTGTTAAAGTGTAATTGAAACACTTCAGTGTGGTGACCACCATTAGTTTTACCTCATTAGATAATGGGTTTAGTGTATATAGTTAATATTAACAGTGTTACAATTCCATATATAACATTAAGACCTTAGCTTACATTAGTTTTTGCTAATTACTTTGTTATATTTGACATTGTTGTAACTTAATTTTCTAAGTATTATTATTATTATTATTGAACTTTCTTAAATGCTGTTGCATTTACTTTTGGCTGTTACAGAAAATTTAACTGACTGGCACTGACACTTCATGTGGAAACTGGCTATCTCATAAGAGGTAGAAGAGAGTTAATTTACTTATGTAACCAGTGACTTTCTTGATGTATAATATCCCATTGATTTCTCAGTAAATCAAGAAACTTAAGAGGCTAGAAATTTTCATTTTAGCTAAGGGATATTTACACTATAAATGTGTAATTTGTGGGAAACTCAGTGCATCATATAGGGGTAGAAAGAAAATCTAAAATGGGCAATTTGGGATGAACAAGCATCATATGATACAGAGAAGTAAAGACTGAGAATTTATTCAAATATTTCCTTTTCAAATTAAGAAAATAAAATTTGTATTAAAATTTGAATTGCAAACTATGTTTTGATGCCAAGGTCAAAATATGCAAACTTTGAACCTACCCAGTATACAGAGAGTTAATCAATTAGTAAAGTGTTCCTCAAATCATGGTATGTACAAGTTGAAAAGTTCTACCAGCAAGTTGTCTTCCTTCTTGTCAGCAGTTCAACAAATTTGTTAAATAAGAGCATCCTTACTTGAAAGTCGGATGTTAGTTAGAAAGTGTGTGTATACTCTGTGGGTACTCCACCAAATTATGATAATTTTGAATACACCAAATGTATATATCTCTAGTAGAACATAGAAACTTGAGGAAGACATGATGATTTCTTGAATGAAGACTGAAATGATGTACTTAGAATTTACTATTATAGATAATATTAATATCATTAGAAAATTCTTGTGTGCTGTTTTATTTTGGGTTTGTTTCATGTGCCATCAGCAACTAAAATTTTTTATTGAAGTTGCTATTACTCCTTTTGTAATATGAAAGTAAAAATGTTTAATAAACTTGAAAAAAATGCAAATGCTGTGACATCACAATATAATGATATTTCATGTGAAGTTTCATTATCTTAGTATTGTTCATTTCTTATATTCGCAAGCCATTGATTTGACTTTTGAATAGGGCCAATTTTTAAAAAGAATACTCAACTATATTCATAAGATATGTGATAAAAAGTAGATTCAGAATTTTAATAGTTGGAGTTTTCATTAACAATAAGGTAGTTTGTTTGAAGTTTTCGTGATTATTAAAAATATTTTACAAGAGACCATTTTTTATGGATTATGGAGTTTTTGTTTGAGCTTTCAGCATTGAAGGAATGATCTTGTTAAATAAAATGTGATTATTTTTCTTTCCAGGAAGGAGATTACAACCATGACTCCAATATTGACCTTTATGATGATGTTATTACTGCTTCTACAGGAGATATAGGTCATCCTGATGAGGTATGCTAAATAATATTGTTTCATAGCTTTTTTAAATGTTTTAATCCAAAATGTATATTTGTTTTCTGGTGGTTTCTTGGTTTTAAGGACAAACTCTTTTATTGACTTTATTACTTGAGTAAAGCCTCTAGTGTAAGTATTGGGAAATGAAATGGAATACCATTATTGCTTTCTATTCTTAATGATGCAAGGCTTTTTATCTACAGAGACTTTGGTGTGTTTCTCCATAAGTTTGATAAGTATAATTGCAAGAGCCTTATATCTTAGAAATAATACCTATAAATTTATCTTGAATGCTTTTTTTAATGATTTTCTTTCTCTCCTTTTTAATAATCATCTGATTAGAATGTAAATATTTACATTTATACTTTTAACCTTTATTCACATATTGTAGTTATTGTATGCACCATGCATTCATTGTATGATCTAACCTTTGTCAAAATTTTACATTGTTTATTCTGGTTTCCCATTTTCTGTTTTGTTTTTTCTAACTGACTCCAGTATTTTAGAGCATGGAAGACACTCACCAAAAAATTTTGGGCTAGGACTTTGCTTTGCAAGTTTTATTAGTTTGTGAACAGTAACACTTAAATTAAAAGATAATTAGCTCCATCTTGTATAAATAAAATGGGAGGGATAGAGAAAATTATTCACAATATAAGCAACCCTAAGTCATACTTCTTCATTGACCTACACTTAGACATCACAACATGTACAGATCTTAGCAGACAAGTGCATAAAGTTATGTTTTGCAAGTGACCAAAATTACCTTAGTTTGTATGACTTATAATCCAATGACTTTTAGTGCTTCAAAATTATTTTAAAAAATGCATTTACTACTTTATACCATCAATATTCTTGGAAGCTTATTAGATAATTATTCAATCATGTAATTTCTTAACACAATTAAAGAGCTTCATTATTAATTATCTACATACAAAACAGCAAGTAGTCCCTAAGTGGGATCCATAGTAGAGCAACTACAATTCTGATTCTAACTTTTGTGAATGAAGGTAAATTTACTACCTAAGTGCTTATTCTGTAGTTGTATATAGCCTCATTGATGGATGTATATAGGTAACAAAAACTGATTCCAGCCAGTATAAACATTTCTTTTAGAATTTTTAGAAAAGTCTCTCGATCCCTAGCGTGCTATTTATCTAATGTTCATCAGCTTAAGCAGAAGAAAGATCTACACAGACTATTGCACACTGATAGCAAAGCAACCATGTAGTTTTAGTCAGCCTGAAACATTGAACAGAAAACGAACTAAACATACATTTAGAGCACATTGTTAATTCAGGTATGTCGGAACACAGGGAAAAGTGTATAAAGAGGAATTAACATTAAGTATTGCATATGTAGAAAACAACGAGTATGTGAACTGTTAGTTACCTGTTTCCTACTATTGTGCAAATGTGCCATGTTTGCAAAATTATTGGCTTAAATGACTGGCTGATGTAAGTAATTCAACCTTGCTCATGTATTATTACTTTGAAAAATAATCACTTCTTAAAGAAATATCATTGCATTTGATGTAGGGCTCAGTGATTAACTCAATTACTTGATATAATCAATAACCTATGAGCATTGATTACATCAACTAATGTCAAGTGTTTCTGATTATCTTAATTTTAATGTCATAAGTCATAGAAATAACTGTCCGATTGGTAACTTGCTGATTCAAAATAAGAGATTTTGGCTCATTTCTCACTGGAATATTATTGTGTAGAAAATTGTGAATAATATTATACCTATGATAATCATATTATCCTCTACCTCTAGCAAGCAAAGTGGCACATGCTGTTAAGTTTGATCACCTAGATGTAGTTGTGTATGTTCTCTTCACCACCACATGCTTGATTACCTTTATATAGTTCTTTGATATAGTTATGTTTCTATAAAATTGTAAATTTGATCACCAAAACCAAACATATGTAACTTATTTTAACCTATACCTAATAATCATCTTACTGGTCACTGTTATGTTTAATATTTTTCCAATTTATAATCAATGTCAGGAAGTAATGTTTATTTTCATCAACAAGATATTAGTAGCTTTAGTTGAGTATTCTTGCAAACATTTGTTAGGAAAATCCCATAGAAAATTATAAATCATATTTTCAGCTTGTTACAGCTTTTATACTACATTGTTTAACTTGTGTGTATGATCATACATTGTGTAACTTATGTATATGATCAATTTTCCTGTACAATGGTTTATGATTAAAAGATGTAACTTCTAAAAGATTAAATCTATAAGATTAAATGGAGGATGGTTCAAAAATGTCATATTATAAAAACCAAAAACTTGAGGAGAACAGAATCATTAGTCTCATGTGAGAATAATTGATTAGTTGGAAGTAATTTATCAGTGAGTCTGATGATTAATCAGTAAAAAGAATCCACAAATTACCCCAGCTCTAATCTTGTCATAAATTTATGACAAAATGTTAAAACCCATGCATGGAATCATAGTATAATAGTTGTAATTTACAACAGTTTGTTATTTCTTGTCCAGATGTTCGTTGTTTGGAAAACAGTTTAGGCTACCAGTATGTGTGCTAAAAAAAACTGTCCAGCACAGCATGTCTTCATAAATATCCGATTATCATTTCCCTTCAAGAAAATTGTAATTTTAAATTTTAATTTTCATATTTATCAAATTTAAAATGCTTTAATATTGAGATATTTTACATTAGCAAAAATTACTAAACAATTTTAAGTTTTACTGGCAAATTCTTGTAGTAAATGTTAAGTTTATAAACTTTTTTTTTTATGAATATTCATAATCATCATTGTAATTGCTGCAGTTCATATCTAGTCTTATCTTAATCTTTATAATATGTTTTACAGTTTGGGATAAACCAGGACGGAATTTCTACAAGATCGGTATCATCAAGTGGAGGACCTCCCACCAAACGTGTAGCTGTTTATGTGGGCAACCTTACCTGGGTAAGTTTCTTGTGTGGTACAGGTTAACTTTTTAAGTTTGTTCAAATAGTTTTTTTTAGGAAATTTTTGCTTGGGATGGCTTAAAATGTTTTGTAAGCCATTTGTTAAAGTACATAAACCCTTCCCTCTTCGTATTCAATTTCATCCTCACTTAACAATTTTGAACTTGCATATTTTCAGGAAACTTTTGGCTTTTATTGTGGGCATCAGCATACCTGAATATCATAATATCTTTAACATTATTGCCTTTGTTTTCAAGGGTGACTCTTATTACAATATGTTCTAGTAAATGTGAAATAGGATTTTTACACATGAATTTGATTGCTACACATTTAAAAATTTCGTTAATATCTAACCTTTTTTCTTTTTTGCATTTATGTGATTAGCTGGATTGTTGCTGAAGAAGTTAAGCCATAAAAATTATTGCATATCAGGGCTAGCCAAAGGTTGGCATGCATCTATGCATAACAACAGTAGGGCTCGTATACTAGTTTAACAAAGAGTACTGTAACATGGGGCATGTTCTTGTAATTGAAACATTTTTTATTACTCCATTTTACTCTAACGTGATAATTTAAATGAAAAAGAATACCCCTTCTCCAATCAATGAAAGGCCTTTTGTGCCTTTGTACTTGACTATTGTCGTGCAACATTTCTAGATCAAGTTACAAATATTAATATTTTGTATAAAAAGATATTGTTACAATAATACAGTTATTCAAAGCATAAACTCATTTTTATTACTCAAAATAATATATGAATGAAATAGTTTCAATGATTTAAGAGTTACCAAGCAAATATTTCGTTGTTTTTTTCCTAATAGTCCTTGATCGTGTAATTGAAAATGTATTTGTTAGTCATGCATTGACTTGCTGAATTGCAGAGACGCTTCTAGCAGTAATGACAAAAATATTTTCCAGAATGAATACAGGATTTTCTCTTGTTGTATCGAATAGTTAGACAAAACATAGCTTACAGAATAAAAAAATTTAATTTTTCAATTAAACTCAGATTCAATCACATTAAACTTAATTTCTTAACTATTGTCAACACCTTATGTGGCACTGAGAAACTGATTTTCTGCACACATGTGGCAGTAGAGAAGCGTAGGTAATTGAAGTAATTCTGCTACATGTGGGATATATATAAAAATTAGAACTAAATAGTTGATTAGTACAATATATATTAGTACTCAAAGTACACAAGCAGAACAAATAAGTTATATAATCACTTGTATTTTGCATTTGCTTTATCCAGTGCAGTACACTTTGTTTTTATACTTCCTTAACTTATCAATGTATGATTGTGAAATAATGTTCCAAATGTCCTTTATTACTCACCACAATTCTGCTAAGTTGCTTGGTAACCATTTGATCTACTCATACAACCTGTACAGCATTAATAATATTCATACTGGAACATTGCAAGCCAAGCTACAGTTGTGAGTATTCCATTAGCCTTTCTCCCCTTCTTCCACCAGATATCATTTCATCATATTTTATTTAAGCTTGGGATCACTTTCTTCCTGCCTAACAGGTCTTGTTCTTGGGGTAAAGACATGATGGATAAGAATCTATTGTACCTGTTGGCAGTCAAGTTGCCACCAGTTTTGTATAGCTCTCCAATACCATAGAGTGAGATTCAGCTCACACTTGTTATGGTCCCCAGTATGCTTTATTTTCAATGTTGTACATAGACTGTGATACCATTCTTCTTTCTGCCATTGAACAAACTATAGCTTATTGTTTTCCAACAATTTGAATTTGGATTCATATGTAAAGAACATCCTTCTTCACATTTGTTATTCTATTACTTGAAGTCGGATGCCTATTTCAGTCTTTTGGTTTGGTTATCTTTTCTAAATAGAGTTTTTGAGTGGGTATACATCTACTGAGTTCACTGCATGCTAAAGTGTATGCTACTCTAATGGTGGTAACATTCTTACCCACACTTACAGCTTGGCCATTGGCAATATTTCTAATGTATTGTCATGTATTACATCAAGAGCCTATCCTGAGTTACTTCATATTACTTTTGAAGAGTTTGGGCTTTCTACATCAACTGCTTTTGTTATCAACACAACCTTATTAGTTTCATATACTTTCTGTAGTCTTCCCTTATAGATCTTGTTGAAACCTGAAATTTCACATCATTCTGTTGCATGTAATAGCCTTCACCAGCCAAAACTTTGATTTCTACACATTTGTCATGTGGCATTTCTGTCCTGGGAGGCATGAGTACATTCATCACACTATTTTTGGTAAAGTATGATTCCCTGTACTTTTATTAACATGTTGCTGGTGTGACACTGTCTTGTTAGTTTGACAGCCAATCACAGTGTAAGTTACAAACACATGACTGTTCTATGGTGCAGGTCATTTTCATAGGGTAGAGGAGGAGCAATCCCATAATATTTAAATTTTTTCCCATTTTCTTTCCATAATTGATTCCAGTATTGTATGTTGTCAAGTTTTGACAAAACTAAGGATTTGGTAATATGGTTTTTCACACTTATTGAAATACCACTATGTAAATTTATCTCTTTACTTTTCTAACTTGTTTTATGTGAACTTAAAAAAAAATAACTGTAACAGAGCAAAGCATTTTTAAGAAAGTCTAAATATATCATATATGTTCCCTCTAAGCTACATGGCTGTACAACAAACAATCAAGTGCCGCACATTTTATTATTCCAGCCACGCACATCCTCAGTAATGGTGAGGAGTTTCAACACATTGATGGCATTAATGACCCTGGCAGTTGATAGTCCTGAAGCCCAAATAACCAACTGGTAGCATTGCACAGCAGCCTAATGGTCTAAATATCCCCCCCCCCCCAAAAAAAAAAACAAAAAAAAACTGGTAGCACCTCTACACATTGCCTTGATACTCGTACACATGATAAAATTCATTCTGCACATGGATTTAAAAAGTATTAGAGGGAACATTGATCATCAACATATTCTATGACTTTGTAAATTAAATGAAAATAACTTGCTGTTAAAATTAGTTACAAACAGCTTAGGTAGACTTTTTTCAAGGCAATAGGCGAGTAAGAGGCCTTTTTTTTCCAAAAATACTGTTATTTTTTGATTAACTTGCTGGATGGGAATGATTAAAATTAACTTAATAATGCACTGTTTGTCTGTTACATCTAGATATGTAATATTGAAATTAGTTGTGCTCATATGCAAATTCAATTTTCAACTGCTGGTTAATATATTTTTAACTTCATTGTAATTTTAATGCTTATTTAAATTTTGTGCATTGTTTTAAAATTCATTTTGTCTATTGACCTATGACAGTTGTTTTTGTTTAGTCATCTCATTTAATGCTTAATTTCATCATTCTCAGCCAGCTTATAAATAAATGGAATGTCCATGATGATTTGAAAAATGTTAGCAGAGTTCTTCACATAATTTTGAACATGTCAGAATTAATTTCCTGTCTGTTTAACTTAAAAACTTTGAAATCCGTTCTTGTTAATTCCTTATAAGCAAATATAATGAAAATTAAAACCATGTACATAGGTCTTATATTTCTCTCAGTTTGAGACATGTTATGATAAAATAAAGTGTCCAGGAGTCCCATGAAGTTTTATTATTATGCTTGCCTTGGTTTTTAGTGGACTACAGATCAAGATGTTATTGATGCCATCAACAAACTTGGTGTAAATGATGTTTTGGATGTCAAATTCTATGAAAATAGAGCTAATGGACAGTCAAAAGGGTAAGGAGATTGAAATGTTTGGTTGTGTTTCTACAGTTATTAAATATGTGAAACATATTGTGACATAATGTGTTTACATAAAGCCAGAAAATTCTGTTAACATATAATAACCTATTATATTACATGTACTAAAACATTTTGCCTTTAAAAAATGGAGTATTGTTTCAAATTACAATAAAAAATAAACTGTGATTAATGTTCTAATCCTGTATGTTCAGTTTTGTGGAGACAAACTAGATATTCATATGTAGTGTAAGCTGTGAAGAAGACCTCAGAGTAGAAGCCAAAACATTGTCCCCTTATTTTCAACAAGTAGTTGCAATCCATTAAAGTTTCAAACTTACTCTGGTAAAAAAGTTGATAAAATTGGATATTTTAATGCCCTATTTCCTCAATGAAGATAATTTAATTAGACTCCCCCCCTTTCCTCACATTATATTACCAAGTACATGTACACTTTATATATGAAAACTTCAAACCAGATATTTACTGTTCATAGTACAACATTGCAAAATTTTACACATTCACTCATAAAAGCAGTTTCTTTCATCATTAATCACTGAAATACATTTCTGCAAATGGGATTCTCAAAAAGTATATTTCAAGACCTTAGAAGTTTTAACCCCTTTTTGTTTTTTCTCTCTGCCACAGTTATAAGTATACAATCTCCTAGTACCAGTTAAAAATGCATGTTTTAATATTTCCTTTCTTACCTGAAACTGGTAAACCTTTGTGAAGTTTGAAGGGGAATACTCTTTCTTCATGATAGTAAAAGATATTTCCAAACTCCCATGACAGTGGTCTAGAGAGAGACAAGATGTGCCCATAGCAGTGAAAGAGTTTATATTAAATTAAAACAGTTATCAGACTATTGCTAAACTTAACCCTTTATAACCCGGTCCCGGCATGGCCAGGTGGATAGGGTGCTCGACTCGCAATCTGAGAGTCGCGGGTTTGAATCTCTGTCCCACCAAACATGCTCACCCTTACAGCCGTGGGGGCGTTATGATGTGCGGTCCATTCCACTAATCATTGGTAAAAGAGTAGCCCAAGAGTTGGAGGTGGGTGGTGATGACTAGCTGCCTTCCTTCTAGTCTTACACTGTTAAATTAGGGACGGCTAGTGCAGATAGTCCTCGTGTAGCTTTGCGAGAAATTAAAAACAAACAAACAAACAAACTTTACAACCCATTGATGGGCATAATGCCACCTGTGACTTGAATTAATGAAAATAACTCATAAAATCACCATATCTGGAACACACATACACACTTCAAACACATGGCAAGATAACTTTGGCTTTTTAAAATGTCAATTTGAATTTTTTTCAATTTGTGAATTATAACACTGCTGTTTATTTTCCTGGTTTGCATCTCTCTGTACACAGGCTCTGTCATTTTGACTGACCTTGTGACCACCATGTAAATATTCATACTTTTAATGTTGTAAATGTATCTTTGTTAAATTTAGCAAACCTTTAGTGAATGTTACAACTTTTTTATACATAAAAAGTAATTTTTTTTTTTAATTAAGTAATTTTACTGAAGATTTGTCTAAATTTCAAAGCTTTTACTAAGTCAGTCTGAGTACAAGGTGGTTTTCACGTTAAGAATAAAAATACAGTTTCATCTTATAGTTTTCATATTTCAGTTGCATCACCACTAGAACCACTTAAATGAATATCAAAAGTGTTTTTCAGTAAAACTATATTTTATATCCTATTTTCTCTACTCTAACACTGTGTACAGGCATGACTCATTTGTTACATTTATATTTCTAATTTATCATGGTTAAAAGGCTGGAATGAATAAACAGATAAGAAATAGTGTGTTTGTCTCATAATCAGAACATTGTGGATTCCAAACTTCCAGTGTCTATCGGAAAACAGATTTAGGAAAGTAAGACGTATGGTGTTTCAATTGTTAAATGTACACAATGTATAAAAAGTAAATTTTTAGTTTATTAACGCCAAGGTATGAAGTTACATAAGTTATAAATTACAGTGTAAAAACAGAATTTACACATTATTCTGTATTAAGGAATACATTTATGCAATCGTAAATTTACACCTTATTTAACACAAGTAGCCTAAGAGTTGGCAGTGGGTGCTGCAGCCAACTACCTTCCATTAGTTGGCAGTTCAAAATTATGGATGGTAAATTATTGTGCCTTGGCCAAGTTGGCTTTTTTCACATACACTAGCAATGTGTATAATCTTGAGAGATTTGTTTTCATCAAAATTAATACTGATTTGATTTCGATGACGAGGAACCCACTTTGAGACTAATAATGGCTGGAGACGGCTTGAATGGGTAATGACAAGGTTTTGTCATCATCAGGTACATTGTACGTTGTACATTTGCTGTTGTGTTAAACTTATATTAAAGTTTTTCTTCATTACCCATTCAAGCCGTCTCCAGCCATCATTAAAATTAATACTGATTAGAACACCTGCAACTCTTATAACATACAGTTGTTACAGAATCGATTTTCCATTGTTTAGAAATTAGGATTATTGTGAGAAAGATGTTTTTCTTATTGGTGATGTCTAGAGTAAGTGAAAATGTAATTGATTTGACTATATAAGTAATGACTTTTAAAAGAATTTGAAAACAGGCATTCTGAGTACACTGGAATGAATGGCACTCTAGTGTACTAATCATGAATACTCTGCCTAAACAATCTATGAAAGAAAACAGACATCCTGTTTATCAATGCCATAATATTTTTTCTAATTTTCGTTATAAATAATTATAACTATTTAGTTCAAAGAAAAAGTATGAAATGTTTATTATTTTTATTTTAATATCAATCACATTACTATAAATATAGATATAAGCTTTGAAATTGCTGAAATATAACCCGACTTAGCTAAACATTTACAGAATATATTGTTATTTTAACTTTAGTTTGATTTATTTAGCTTACTTTAGGAAGATAGTCAATTTTAGTCCAGAATACTATATTATTACAGCAGAAGTCTCTTCTTTCATGTAAAAAAGTACTGGAAACTTGGTTACAATATTACACAACTAACTTTTAAAAAGTTATCTGGTATCATACCATCATTATAAAAAGTGAAACATTACCGCAGCTAGTGTAGAAAAGTTAAGCATGTTTACTTGTTAACATAATGATACTATATTATCTGAATAGATTTTGTAGTTTTATTCATAGTCATTCTCTAATGGTTTTCTAAACTTTGTAATATAAAGTTATAACTATTAAAAATTTTATTTTACAAAATAAATTTATGTTATTCTAATTCTTATGTTGTATTTAACTCTACATTTAGGCTACTTGAAGAATATAAAAAATATATGAGATTTTACTTTAGCTAAGTACTCTTTTGACTAATAAATATAGTAGGTTATGATTATCAATTTCTCTTAATTTATTATAAAGCACTTGAGTAACTGTGTAGTTATAGAAACATTAGTCACAAAAATTGTTGCTAACATGCACATAAACATGTAAAATAATACTTAATTGTATGGAATAACAAGTATGGAAAAGTGCGCACAGTATTGTTATAACAGGTGAGTGATAAGTGAATAAATATTTTGTTTCGAAATGTTGAACAGTGCAGTTGCATTGCCTGTGTGATACATTATCATATACAAAATTTAGGATTAAAAAAGTAACTTATTCTGTTTTATTGTACCTGAAGTCTGAAGACAGGGTTTCCTTTGGTTTTCATTATTTTATTTTTTACCACTAGATAAAATGTTTTGAGTCAAATTCTAAAGTCAATTTTATCTCTTAATTCCAACTATATTTCAACAATTTTACCTTGAAAATGTTTTAGAATCAATATTTTGTCATTTTCTGGCATTATTTATCTAGTGTAATTCATAAAGAAAAAAATTATTTTCATTTCCGTACATCTGTGGAGTTTTACCTGTTAACAAAACAGTTCACTTGTCTATGTGTTTTAAATTGTTCTTCCCATCCCAAAAAATAACTTTTTCTAAGAACCTATCACCTCTTGAGAATATATTATCCATTTCTTGATTTTCAAGCATTTCCTCTAGTTTTTGTACAGGCCTTGATTGAAACCTTGTGGTGCTATATCAAGTGGTTTGACCATTTACTAATGAAACACAGCTTTTAAAACAGCTATAAAAAAGTTTCAATACAATTGGATAGATCGAGAGTTAGACTGTAGGTTGAATAAATAAGTTTAAGAGTTTTTTGTTTGTTTTAAGTTTCTGTAAATGTTCTTTTCAGTTCCATTCATATGTAAATTTTTAAAATATTTGTTTGTTAAATTATATCTGTTTTAAAGCTACATAAATATTTTTCAATGAGAAGAAATCATATAACTTGAAATAAGGTAAGTTTGTACAATTTAAAGATGGGTTGAATAAGTAACAAAAAACTTTATTAGAAGTTTAACACAGTAACAAATGTACAATGTTTGGAGAAGGTTTTTATGATCATCAGGTACAACTATTGGACCTAGATACAGGAGTATGTATGTGTATATGTACAGACACAGTTTGAAACAAAAGTCAAATAAAATTCTCATGAAATCAGATACATTTCATTAAATGTACTGTCTTCTGAGTATTGTAGGCAATTGAAAAATACTGTGATAGTTCAAATCTTTATTGAATATTATCTTTATGTTTATCCTATTCAATACACTTCTAGATAATTCTTAACCAGTCATTTTCTTTCTATAGTATTTTAACTAACCTATTCATTAGGGGTATTACCACCTGTTTTCTGTACTTCTGTGTAACTAATTACAATTCATAATTTAAAGTTTCCAAAATATATGAAGCTATTTTCTTTTTTAAATGTTAGGCTGAAACAGTGGCTGAATTTTTCTTTGTTTAGGTTTTGTGTGGTTTCATTAGGATCTGAAAACTCATTCCGAATTGTCATGGACAAACTTCCAAAAAAGTGAGTATGAATTAAATCTTTTGGTCATTTGCTCTTTGTCATATGCTTAAAGGTTGAATTGACAATTAATTTTAAATTTGCAGTGTTTTTATGATTGTTTAACAGTTTGAATAAGATTTCCATATTATGTTACTCAGTGGTATTAATGCTATATGAGTCATTTAATTCTTAATTGTTTACCTGCCTTTTATTACTGGATTTTATTACTTTTCTGTATTATATGGCTCAGAGCTTGATGCAGTGTAAATGCTGAAGTAAATTTGTTGATTCAAAGTTGTGATATGCTAATAATAGTATACTAAATATATGGGTGGTATGTTGCTTCCAGGACTGTTGTAGTTCATCGTCATTGTACAAAAGTACAATAACCTCAAGCTATGAGCATGTAGATTATCTGTAATTGATAAATTGTGATGTACTATTGATAACTGATTATAACTGCTGTGTTTATGCTGGTTTTTTTTCTCTGTTCAGGGAACTTCATGCACAAAATCCTGCTGTAACACCTTACAACAGACAAAGCTTGAACCACTTTGAAATGCAGGCTAGAAAACCATCTCCAGGTGAATAAAACTCGTAAACATTCATTGAAGTACTCTCATGAATTAATCTTAAAGAAGAGAAAGGACTTTCATCTCTTCAGTAGTTACAATATTTGGAAATAAAAATTGTTTAATAATCTTTATAAAAAAACGACAAATAATTATTATAGAAAAATATAATCTCTAGCCATGATATTTTCATTTTTCCTGTATAGGTTGCATAGACTTTTGCATAGGTATGTCATTAAGAGCTAGGGGCTAAGAAATTCTCTGTCAACTTGTACTGTTCCTATCCATTGAGCTACTTTCAGTTTTTAAGACAAAATACAAAGTAGAATCATTCTATATTAAAATGTAGTTTTCAGATAAATAATTTTTAAGATGATATGCAGATAGAAATTATTCTTGTAAGTCTGTAATCTACTTTTATTTTGGAAATGACAGTGACAAAAACAAAACAAGTCCTCGAATTTGAAACTTAAAGATTTCCTACAGCATAAATTGAATTTCTTTTCTTTGGAGCATGGTAAATATAATTAATTATGATCATCAGTTGAGCTTATTACAAGAAGTTTCATTCTTCTGCAAATGCACAATCTCTGTAAGGATTTTAAAGTTCATGGAGAATGTTTTTCAGTACACTCTACTGCTACAACCACATATATTTAGTAATTTTCTTTCATTTATTCCCTGACTCTTTCTTTCTCACTTCATCTAACTTAAAAGAAACCTGTTTATTTATTTTGGAAACTTTTATATTTGTATTCCACCTTGATTTATCAATTTTGACAGTAAATTAATGGTAGTGAGCACATTCTAAATAAAATGCAACACAAATTTACAGTAGTTAATTATAATTATATGGATAAGTTCTACCCTAAACGTGCAGTTCTAATATTCATCAGAAATAATGCAAGTAAAAGTTTTAATGAGTGACATTACACGGGTTCTCATTGTCTAAATATAATCTTGATAGATATTGCTAGTTATATCTTGCTATTGTGATAATGATAAATGATGTATTTTGTAATTTTTGTAAACATTCTTCACATATGTTCATTATAGTTTTTCTTTTAAATTTTGTTCTTATTGGTATCAGTTGGCCTGAAGATTAGTTGAACTTAGGAGTTGAGAGTTTACTAAGTAAATTTTAAACCAGATTGAGTCATTATCATTTTTTATCATTGAACATTACATTTTCTTTTTGATATTATTTTATGTTATATTTATATGTAAAAATGCATAATTTTTAATAGGATCTTGGAGTCTCCCATACTTGTTTCTTAACCATGTTGAGTGAACTTGGTAGCTCTCAAATTACTGACCTGTTGTTGTGCTATTTTCAACTGGTTGAAAACCATATTGTATCATATTGAGTAATTTTATTTTTTGCCTGACACTCTCACTGCAAAGACATGAACAAAACAAAATGGGTGAAATGACACCCTTTCTGTCTAAAATGCCTAGGAGTCTTTAGCACATTAATTGATTTAATTGAAATATTGATATTATTTTTGTTCAGTCTTTTCGTAGTGATTTGTTAATTATTAAGAACTCTAAACAACAAGTTTGTGAACTGATAAATTGTTGAAAAAAATGTGTTTAAAAAGATGATGCTGAACTCCATTGGTAATTCTGGGACCAAGGATCTAGTATATATATTTGGAATCACAGATCAATTTTTAGAAAGTGTTATTTAAAGAGCCTGAATTGTATACACTGAAGTAGCTAGACCCATTTTTAAGAAAAATACATTTATTTTCATCAGATAAACCATGTTAGGCCCATATGCTTGTAGAGCTTGGCAATTTAATTGATTAATCAATTACCTATGAGAAGCTATTACATTGATTAATCAAGATGACAATTAATATTATTGTCACAGAAATAGTCAACTAATTGAATTTAGGGTTTCCTATTATCATTATTTTTGATTATGTGAATAAAAATATTGTTACTATGTTTGTTTTTATGCTCAAAGCTATATAATGAGTTATTTGTGCTCTGTGACACTAGAGGGAAGGAAACTGGCTGACAGCACTTTCTGCCACGTTTTTTTATTTTGTTATTCAACTTTTGATAGAAGGAAGGCAACATCTGCTACCAGCCTTTTGTTTTTTGTTTTTGCTTGTATGAACTATGATTTGAGGAATCAATAGATTTTACTTACTTGTGTAGATGATTTAAATTGTAGGATATGGTTTTATGTTATCTTTGTGTTATTATTATTATTATTTTTTTCTTAGGAAATCCTGGGCGAGAAGGAATGGGGAGAGGAGGACCATCAGGTGGAGGAATGAGGGAAAGAGATGGGAGAGGAGACAGAGGGCAACTTAATTTGAATAGAGGAATAAGTAATGGCCCACCACCTTTTCTCCCTCAACAGCGTATTCATGGACCTCCAATGGGCCCACCACTTCCACAAGGACTACCACCACCCCAATTTCATCAAGGTGCTTTTTTCTTTTGTTATGTAAAATCATATAGAAATATGAAATAATATATTATTGAAAACACAGGAAAAATACCAGGATTATAGTCAGCCTTCTGTTTGGTGTAAGTTAGTAAAGCCACAAAAAGGTAGTTTGGGAGAATTGGTTAATTAGAATAAACTTTAAAGGAAATTCAGTCTCATCATGACTCTTGTTGGTCTTCAAGTTTGAAGTAAGAGTCAATGTGCTCAGAATTGAATAGGAAGGCTTAGAAATCCAGAAAGGCCTTTCAGATATGTTGTGTTTTTACAGATTATTGTTTATGAAATGTATTCACTTGTAGTAACAGTATGTTGGGTAGTGATTAAATGTTTTTTTTAACACTCCAGATTTATTAGTTTTTACTGAATTACTTGTATAATTTTCAAGTGCAATTTAAGATATTTGTAGAATGATATAGAAAATATATCTTTTAATGCTGAAATGCTTCAAGTTTGCTATAAGGCAAAGTCATTTATTCCAATGCTATCTTGTTTCCAATTATATTTTTTATAAACATCATTTTGAGCAAGATTTCTTTTCTTATGATAATAGTTTTACCTTATTACAGGAATAATTTATGTCTTTGTATTACAATGTTTTAACCTTATGTTTATGGGTGGAGGTCAAAATGACATGACCTTTCACAGAGTTACATTCAATATTTAATTAAACAACTTTATTATCAATGCAATATCAATAAATTTTGCATAAAACATAGTTTATATTTCACATTTTTATATTATCTAAGTTTTAATTTCTTAATTTCAATGGAAATATTTAAATAAATTTTCAATCTTCACATCAATGTATCACATGAGCTTCACTCCAAATTGCCCATTTGGATTTTCTTTTAACCTGTATGTGATCTTTTAATTTTCCATGAATTACACGCTTTACTATAGATATTATTAAGCCATAATTAAGCTTTTTGCTTTACTGAGATATAAATAAAAAAGTCAATAATTCTCTCTGACATTTGCTGTTGGATTACTTATAACCAATAAAAAAAAAGATTCTGCTTTATATGATTCCTTATTTAGCTAGTTCATTCAGGTGCCAGGTTTGGAAATATTTAGCTTCAGTTTCATTGTTTGTATTAATGGTGTTTAGCTCTACTAACTAATTTAATTTTTTTAATTTATCTATAGCTTACCGTATTTTTCAAAATATAAGACACACCCTTATTTTGAAGACAAAGTTTTGGGGGGAAAAAAGCTATAGTTGCATTTGAAAGATTTTTATTGAACAAAAATTCAATTTGATACTTTAAAAATTAGTATGTATATATATTGTTCTAAACACAAAAGAGCTCAAAACATCAAAATAAGAAAATACCGTAAATCAAAATAAGGTTTACTGTTATTTAGTTTGGTTCAAAACCTACAAAATCTTCATTGCTTTCACTGTAATTTATTATTTAGGGAGCATTATAAATAGTTATGTTTTTAAAATAAAAATAAAAGACTACTATTGTTATAAATAACACATTCAATTGAACTAAACTATGCATGCCCATTTAAATATATTTAGACATTGGCTTGTGTATATCGTATATATATATATACATATATATTATTCATACCTTCGAT